ATAGCAGTCATAATCGTAGTAGTCGTAGTAGTCGTGGCAATAGTAGTCGCAGTAGCCCTGATCGTAGTATTAGTGGTAGTAGTAGTCGTCGTATTAGTGGTAGTGCTATTAGTAGTAGTCGTAGTCGTCGTAGTAGTAATAGTGTTAGTAGTGCTAGTAGCAATAGAAACAATAGTAATAGCAGTCGTAGCAGTGGTAATAGTAGTAGTAGTAGTAGTAGTAGTAGTAGTAGTAGTAATAGTCGTAGTAGTAGTAGTAGTAGTAGTAGTAGTAGTAGTAGTGGTAGTGGTAGTCGTAGTTGTAATCGTGGTAATAGAAGTAAGGGCGGGAGTCGTGACAGAAGTCGTCCTGTTACTGGTAGCAGCAACAACCATAGTAGTAGCAGTCGTAGCCATAATAGTAGTAGTAGTAGTAGTAGTAGTAGTAGTAGTGTAATAATGGTAGCAGTAGCAGTAGTAGTAGTAGTAGTAGTAGTAGTAGTAGTAGTAGTGGTGGTAGTAGTCGTGGTAGTAGTAAGCGGCAGTAGTAGTGGCAGTCGTAGTAATAGTAATCGTCGCCGTAATGGTAGCAGTAATTATAGTAGTAATAGTAGTAGTCGTAGTAGTAGTAATCGTAGTAGTAGTAGTACTACGGGTAGTAGTAATAGTAGTAGCCGTAGCAGTCTAAGCAGTAGTACCAGTAGTAGTCGAAGTAATTGTCGTAGCAGTAGCAGCGGTGGTAATGGTAGCAGTGGTAGTAATAATAATACTAGCAGTAGTGGTAATACTCGTCGTGTTAGTACTGATAATAATCATAGCAATCGTAGTCGCAAACATATTTGTAGTAATGGTGGTAGTAGTAGTAGGAACAATAGAAATAGTAGTAGTATTATTAGTGATAGTAATAATAGTAGTAATAAAAGTAGTGGTGGTCGTAATGGCATTAGTCGTGCAAGTTATCGTACTAGTAGTATAAGGAAAGTAGCCGTATTGGTAGCAGCAGTAGTAGTAGTAGTAGTAGTAGTAGTAGTAGTAGTAGCAGTAGTAGTAGTAAAAGTAGTAGTTGTAGCAGTAGTAGTAGTGATAGTAGACGTGGTTTTATTGGTAGCAGTGGAAGTATTATTAGCAGTATGGTTTGTAGCAGTAATAATCGTCGTAGTTGCTGTGATAACCTTAGTAACCGTAGTCGTCGTAGTCGTAGTAACATTAGTAGTACTAGTAGAAGTAGTACGGGTAGCCGCCATAGTAGTAGTAGTAGTAGTAGTAGTAGTAGTCGTAGTAGTAGTAGTAGTCGTAGTAGTCGTAGTAGTAGTAGTAGTAGTAGTAGTAGTAGTAGTAGTAGTAGTGGTAGTAGTAATAGTAGTAGTAGTAGTAGTAGTAGTAGTAGTGGTACCAGTAGTAGTAGTAGTAGTAGTAGTAGTAGTAGTAGTAGTAGTAGTAGTAGTGGTAGAAGTAGTAGTAGTAGTAGTAGTAGTAGTAGTAGTCGTAGTAGTAGTAGTAGTAGTAGCAGTTGTAGTGCTAGTGCAGTGCAAGTAGTAGTAGTAGTAGTAGTAGTAGTGGTAGTAGTAGTAGTAGTAGTAGTAGTAGTAGTAGTAGCAGTAGTAGTAGTAGTAATAATCGAAACTGTGGCCGTACAAAATGTCACAGTAGCATTAGTAGTAGTCGTAGTTGTGGTACTCGTAGTCCTCGTCTCACCCATAGAAGTCGTGGTGGTCGTAATAGTCGCAATAATACTAATAGTACGTCGTAGTCGCGGAAGTAAGTTTAGTAGTCGTAGTAGCCAAATTAGTACCACGAGCGCCAACAACAATAACTGTAGTAGTAGTCGTTATAATAGGGTAGTAGGAGTAGCGGTAGTAATAATACTGGTAGGGTAGTCGGGTAGTAGTGATAATAATACTCGTAGTAATCATAGCACTCGTAATGGTAGCCGTAATGATAATAATCGCAGTGGTAGTAGCAACAATAGTCGTGGACGTCGTAATAATAGTGGCAATAATTTGAATCGTCGTCGGAATAATCGTAAGAAATGAAAATCGTAGTAGTAGTAGTAGTAGTAGTAGTAGCAGTAGCAGTAGTGGTAGTAGGAGTAGTGGTAGTCGCGG